GGAATCAATCTGTGTCTGTGACAGATCCGCCACGCTGGTTTTGAACTCCTCCTCGGTGTGATCAAACAGCTGGAGGCAATCATCGAGGGCTCTCTGTTGAAGCGGGTTTAGATTTCTGAGCTTTCTTCTCAGACCAGTACAGTTAGAGGACGAGGATCTGACCTCGTACATGGTGTGGTTGACGAGGGAGCAGATGCGTTGGGGAACAGATTTAGAGGCAAGATCAGGGAATGAAGCGAGGGTGGAGACACAAAGGTCAGGATAGAGTGTTCCTTGGCAGGTGGAGTGAGCCGCTTGAAGGTGTTCCTGAGAATGTGGCCGCATTGCTTCCTGTGATTCTGTTGCCTTCACAAGGAGCAAGAGTAGAGAAAGGAGGGTAACAAGGGCCAGTGAGACTGTTGTTCTCTTGAGGTGGTGCATGGTGGACATGGAAAATGCAGCCAACGGAGAGAAGATGAGTGTGTGAGAATAGGGGGGAGGTGCGGAATGCCGTGGATATAAATAGGGGCTCTTCACAGTTAAATTTATGCTCCATACCGTTAACTAAAGCAGTAAAGTGTTCTACTTGGATTTGCACAAAGTTCGAAATAAATCACGCTGACGTAGGGACTTGCTATATTAATCAATCAGGTGCGGGGGGAGTCCACCGACATTCATCACAACTGTGTACGTTATGTGGTACTTGGCTCAGGTAAAGATTTATAGTAATTTCTTCTGTTACCGTCGTCCTTAGGCCTCGTTATTTCTTGTAAGCTCTTAGCTGGGAGTTGTTATGGAAGATTAATAAGATGTGTGCTTTTACTTTTAAACATGTAAACATGTGTAGATCCGGGCAAGCTATTATTGCTTCTGCTTTTATGAGTGAGACACAACAACTAAAGCCTTCTGTCTCGTGTGGGCAGAGCGTGGGAAAAGATACTTCTGCTCCTTCTTTCTTTATTCCATGCTACCAAGAGAAAATTGAAGCCTGCAATCAATGAATAAAGAAAGTCATGAACTATAGAAACATCTGATATTAGATTCAAAACTAATTATCATAATCTCCGACAGCAACATGGTTTGTGAACATAAAAGTCTCTCAAATCCTGCATAGCAAAATGTCCATAATGGAGACCATGATTGGAAGGTGCTGAAGAAAATCTGTATCTACATCAGTACTCACAAAACTAAACAAGTAATTGTCAGCGGTCTGTTGAGAAGTGGCAAGAGTGAAGGAAGGAGGATCAACGTTAACTGATAAATAAATTGAACTTGGAATTTGGCTAAAATTAAACAAGGCAAAAGCAGAGAAGGTTGGTGATCAACTTTATTCGAACGAAGTGGGCACGCCGTAGGCTTTTCAGGGTGAAGACGCAAGAGGGAGGGAGAATATGAAAGTGGGCCAACAAAGGTGGTGGTTCGAGGGTCCATTACAGGAACTGGACCAGAATAGCCATGCGCCCATGATACACTGCCGTATCCGAAACATTATTGCAGTTTTGTTTAGTTGCTACCCAAGAAATTCCCGCCAAATAAGAATGCTTTACATATATATATAATAATGTCCAGAGATTGGCCATTTGAATCGAATGCCTTCTGAATATTACATGATGGAACAACGTGAAAAGACTTCTAATTAACAATTTGAATTATGAACCAAACGGAGCGTGTGGGAGGGATTAGTGTATATACGAGTAATTTGAATATGTGGTTCAGCGGCCGCAAGGAGGCGGCTCTTAATCAGCAGATTATATAAGTGCTCGTCTATGCGTCGACTTCACCGCTAATACAGAGGGAAACCCTATAAGTGGAAGCGTTGGGTAGAATGAGGTGCGAAATTGAACATAAATGAAAGCTTGTGTGGTTTATCATAATAATTTAATATGTGTGTTTAATTTAGACGCATTAATTCCAGCGAAGTGACATGAAGAAGTACTCCTCTGATCTTATCTATAGAAGTCATTTTTTGGTCATATTCATAGAGTACTAAGAGAAAATAGATATACAATTTTATCCTTTATTTATTATTGTGTTGATTTTGTTTATATGAGGTATAATATATATTAAACAGGAATAAAGTTAAAAAATTATTAAATTTTAAATAAGAGTTAATGAAGTTTAAAATTTTTTTTATTTTTTGACCTACATAAAATATGTTGAAAGCAATTTTTAAATAGGACTAGAGTATTATATTGGTAAATTGACATTCTTGTGGGGCCTGCAGGGGGATCAGAATTAATGGCAATGTTTGGTGAGAAGCATGAGTATCACCAATAATAAAGATGTTGCTCTATTTAGATACACTGCATCCGGACCGGACGACTTTCTATCCTAATCATGTACGTCACGTCAGGACATATACATCTCCGATTGTTCAAAATATTATTGTTCAATTTCGTGCGCTGTGGTTGCAATTGCGAATATGATATGTGCTGTCTCGATTAGTTAAGATTAGGGATTAGATCAAAATCATTCTATCACTCTATCTAAAAAGGGCCTTATTAATTGGTTTATAGATTATATTATAGGTGCCTGGGGAGTTTATTGGAATGCTACTCAAACTTCTACAGTTTTACCCCATATATTTCAAGTTTGTACTTCATCTTTTGTTGAAAGGTTGATTAACAGGGTTTGGATTTAGTAGAAGAGAAATGTTTAAATCCCTGTTAAGAGAGGTATCTACATTTAGTGTCTGATAATGTCTGAAATATGATTGTTTTCAATAAGAAGATACATATGCTTTAAAAAAAAAAAAACTGATTAGTTTATATCCCTTTCATGATTAGCTTCGTTCTTGTTATTATTATTGTCTGGATTCAATCTTGTTATAACATGATTAACACTGGTTACATTTTGTGATACTTGATTCAGGTGGAGAGTGAATAAGATAACGTAATTTTTAATTAACAGTACAATTTTAATTTTTAAAGAACAAGATTATCCCGTGAAACAAGATGCGTATCGACCACTATAGTCAAGTACGATGTTATTCAGGCCGCCGCAATGTTTGAGCCCAAAAAAGAAAAGAAGAAGAAGAGACAGATGTGTATTGAAGGAAGCTGCAAGCGTATATGGTTTTATAAGCACACACGGGGAAATTGCGAGGACTTTGCGTGATTGTGATTGAAATTTGAATTGGTCTTCTGTTCAGCTTTCTACAGGCTGGATGCAGATACACCTTCATCCTCTACACTATTGATTCAAATGCATTGATCCCTCCAGCAATCAATCTTTATTCCCAGAACCTTCCCCGAAACATACCCCTTTTTTTTTTAATTAAGAAAAAAAGAGACTTTGACCCTAAAATGGAGGGAAAATTAGAAAGAAGTAAGAGAGAGATCAAAGAAAATAATATCATCTGCACAATTTCACTCAAAAAATAAAAAATATAGCATATGCACAATTTCATTGGCAATTTTCAATTTGAATTTAGAATGAATTGCAGAAAGCGTAGCTTTTTGTGGTCAGTTGCAACTTGATATATAGAAGAACTCATCAGGATCTATTCTATGACCGCTTGCATTACAACAGGGGATCCAGCTTCGTTACCTTTCTTTTCGCCACCCAATATGCTGCTATGTAAAATATTAAACGCAACTAGACTTTGTTAATCTATGCTTTAGTGATGCTATTTTTATAACCGCAAATGTTCTGACTTTGTTACAAAATGCGCGCATAAACTGTGGGTAAGATATATCTCAGACTTGGTCAATTGCTTCTACACTACTGCACGAAGGTTAGGGCCGGGGAGCATTACCAACTCTCCCTAGTTTTTAATTCTGTTCTTTTTTTGGGTTGGTTCAATATTCCTTTGTGTCGGATTTTTCATATTGTTCTATCTTAACATATCGCTTCCAATCATTCATGTTGCCCGCCCTGATGAGAACATCCAAAGTACAAATATACATGCTCTTACATTTCCTGTTCCTATGCTGCTAAGCTGATGAACTCAATTCTAAAATATTTCTGTCATTCTTAATTCGATCATCGGCTTAATTAAGAATATATGTATGATGCATGCAACCCATACCTGAAAGACACTAAGGTGGCTGACATTTCGTTTTCACAGCCGCTGCAATAAGCTTGATACGCAAAGTAATCTAATCTTCCCATCCATTATATCTGCAATAGCCAATAACGCAAGAGATTCGATTAATTATAATCACATGTCTGTATTGCTTAATCACTTTGTATATGAGATATACTCTTAACGCAAGAGTGAAGGATTTGAATCGTCTACACAAACCATTCAGTTCTTTTCACTTCGTTCCCCAAAGTGAAATTAAATCTTGAATCACTACACCACACTGATAATTGTAACAGCTGGTTTGAGAATTCATAGTCACCTCGTTCAGAAGTTAGATGATTAAATTCCACATCCCTAAGAGCTCGGTCAACACCATTTTAAACAGGCACTGTTGCTTCTTTTTTTAAAAAAAAATTAGGCTCATTCAATTTTAAGGCTTGACCCGATTAAAGCTCGTCGTCTTCCTTGTCCACATTGACTAGAGAATGCATCATAATTATTTTGTCAGCATTAAATGGCAATTAATCTACACTTGTTTTACTTTTCTCCTTCTGTCTTTTGTGGCAATTGCACAGTTGGCGAGCAAAAATTATATTGCAATGGGCAAATAGCTAGCCGAATAACAGCACGTCACCAAAAACTAATCTTATTTGATAATTAAGTAAAAAAAAATCATTAATTTAATTCAAAGGAATAAAGCAAATATGTGCGTGTCTATATATGCGTCGGTGCAAAGATCACAGTAAGTAATTAATTAATGTTTATTTTGTCAACCAATATGTTAGTTTATTTAGAATGGCAAGTTGGAGCTGCTGACTGCGTTCATGGGAGTCACGTAGGCCTCCCATCAATTGTGCCAATATGACAATTTAATCACGAAAACGATACGAATTGTGAATTAATTAATCTAGTTCTCACACTGCACGACCCCGTCCCCTATATATACCACGACGAAACTAGCCATTTCAAGCTCATCATCACAACTAAGTTCTTCTCTTGCTTAGACCCCAATGGCTTTCAAGCTCATGTCTCTCTTTAGCTTTACAGGCTCCGTTTTCCTTCTGCTTTCCTTCTTCGCATTGTTATCTCTGGCAGCAGATAACCCTGTGGCCACCCTCATAACCCCTCCGGACACTGTTTGCGACTCCACCTTGCACCCTTCCCTCTGCAAAACTGTGCTTGGTAATCAAAATGGCAATGTCTTTGACTTTGGCCGCATTTTGCTTCGAAGGTCCTTATCCCAGTCTCGTACGTTCTTGAACCAGGTGAATTCCATTCTGAGATCTCCATCCTCTCTGTCTCAGCCCACCATTCGAGCTCTCGAGGATTGTCGCTTCCTCGCTGAGCTCAACTTCCAGTTCTTATCCGACACCTTGGACGCTGTCAAAAATCTTAATGATTTCCTGTCTTCTTCCAAAGCCGAAGACCTTGAAACCCTGTTCAGTGCCGTTCTGACCAACCAGCAAACATGTCAGGATGGCCTTGAAACCACCACTTCGGATCGAAGAGTAAAGGACGATCTTTCTTCCTCGCTCTCCGACGACACCAAACTGCACAGCGTGTCTCTCGCTCTGTTCGCCAAAGGTTGGGTGCCCGAGAAGAAAATCATAACATCATGGCCACGCAATGGGAGGCATTTGGAATTCAGCAATGGTCGCCTGCCATTGAAAATGTCACCCCGAGTAAAGGCCATTTTCGACTCCGCAAAACGCCACGGCAGAAAACTGCTCCAGTCCGACGACGAAAGTGTGTCGATTACTGACATCGTGGTCGTCAGTCAGGATGGAAGCGGAAACTTCAGCACCATCAACGACGCCATCAATGCTGCCCCTAATAACACGGCTGCCGGTAACGGTTATTTCTTGATCTTCATCACCGAGGGTGTGTACCAAGAATACGTATCCATAGCCAAAAACAAAAAGTACTTGATGTTGGTGGGAGAAGGCATCAACCGCACCATCATCACCGGCGATCACAACGTCGTCGACGGTTCTACAACATTCAACTCAGCGACATTTGGTAATTATTATAGCACGCGAGACTCTGTAATCTGATTACATGCATGTTATTATGCTGTGTTGTGTTTTAACGGCGCGATTAATTTGTTACACATGTGAACGTTACTTACAGCCGTGGTAGCAGAAGGATTCGTGGCGGTGAACATTACATTCCGTAACACGGCGGGGCCGAGCAAGCACCAAGCCGTTGCCTTGAGAAGCGGAGCGGACAAGTCCACGTTCTACAGCTGCAGCTTCGAAGGGTACCAAGACACGCTTTACACACATTCTATGAGGCAATTCTACAGAGAATGTGACATATACGGCACCGTGGACTTCATATTCGGGAACGGAGCCGTGGTTCTGCAAAATTGTAACCTGTATCCCCGGCTTCCGATGAGCGGTCAGTTCAACGCCATCACGGCTCAGGGCCGGACGGACCCCAACCAGAACACGGGCACGTCCATACAGAACGCCACCATAAAAGCAGCCGATGATCTGGCTCCGTCGGTAGGGTCGGTGAAGACGTACCTCGGGAGGCCATGGAAGGAGTACTCGAGAACCGTATTTATGGAGTCATGGATGGACAGTCTGATCAATCCTGCCGGTTGGCGCGAGTGGAACGGGGACTTTGCTCTGAGCACGCTGTACTACGCTGAGTATAACAACAGTGGCCCCGGCGCTAACACGAGCAACAGGGTGACGTGGCCGGGCTACCACGTCATCAATGCCACGGATGCGGCAAATTTCACGGTGTCCAACTTCCTGACTGGGGATGCTTGGTTGCCGCAGACGGGGGTTCCGTACTCTAGCGGACTTGCGGCCTGATCGGGTCTCGCCGATGCCACCAACAATAGCATTCAAATTCATAAACAATAAGTTATGATTGGCTGTCGTCTTTGTTTATAATTCTTGCTTCCCACACATAGCACATATTGATGTATTATTAGCACACGCCTATATCTTTTCCATGCCTGTATGTTCCCACGCTGCATGTAGCCATATATACACACACACATATATATATTACTATATGAATAACTTCTCAATTATTGGATGCTTGAACAAATATATAAAACGGTTTTCGAGATTGAATTCACATATGTGCTTGAGTGCATGCAAAAGCATAAGCCGGATTCCTTTTATAATCATAAAATAAAATTCCGTGGAAGGAAACTTATGCGAACCGGGTGCAGTGTAACCTACCGATTCCGTGGATATTGTTTTCTGTGACCACATGCAGCGGGTGGGCTCATTTGATATATGGAAGCACGTCAACTGATTTCCTGGTGGCTTACCACGATTTTTCTTAATGGCCCGCTCAGTTTCCATCGGTTTTTCTCCTTCTGTCAGTTTTTGTGCAGATCTTGTGTTTCGGTGAAGTGTTTTGTCATAATACACGCGCACGCACGGGCTCACTTATGACTGGGTCTTTCATAGATATTATTATCTGAAAAATTTGATAATAATTATTTATGAAGCTCAAGATACTTTCATCCTTCTTGAAATTAATTATGCGCAATAATGTCATTGCCACCACATTCAAGAGACTAACCGTTTTATTGAGTCCTGCCCGCAGTCTTTTCTATTTCTTTTGTTAATACATTACCACATATCTCAATTATAACTAGCCGGCAAAAAAAAATCAATTACAAATTAAAAAGCCAGTATCTCTTATCCTTGATGTAAAAACTAGTTGATTAATTTAAGTACGTTAAAAAAAATTAGTTAAATTAGTTATTTGTAATAAATAGATGTTATTTTCTTTAGAATATTCTTACTAATCATGTTTATTAATTAGAACTACTATTTAATGAAACTTTTAACATATGAAACTAGTTCAGTGACTATCTTGATAAATATGGATAAATGAAAGACAAAATAGATTAAAATCTTATATTTATAATCAAATTAAATATATATTAAACTAGATCTTATACTAAGCATCTAGTATATGTCAATTAGTTCTAAAATCGTTGGTGCCTGTTTTTCTAATTAAAAAAAATCAGTTCATTCTGAAGGAAAGGGGCTAAACTCATGATCCCATGGTCTAACGGTATGGCGCTTTGCCTTAATAAAAGCGACTTATGCAGGTTTGATTCACGTTGCCTCCTGTAATTTTTCCTTTGGAAAAAAAAATATTTCATGAACACCCACAGTTTTGACCATCATTTAACGGTGTCTCATTTTACCTCTTGTGAAAAATATCATATGTTATACTACCTCCGGTCCTTAATATAAGACTCCGTTTGACTTTTTGTTTGGTTCTAATTATAAGACCCCAATCAATTTTGTCTCTCATATTTATGCATTTTTTTCCAAGATAATCCTTCTAATAATGATAGTTCTAGCCAATACACTTAATTAGCAAGGATATTTTAGGAATGACAACACTTATTTGTTACAAATAACTAACTTAACTTACTTCCTTAATCTCCTCAAATAAGTCAACTGGGTCTTATAATTAGGACCGGAGGTAGTATATATATTTGGAATAACGTACAGTGTCACTATTCATAAGCTCTTCTTCTGGAAAAAAAAAACGTGCACACAGGAGTATTATAAGAATGAAAACTTCCTACAAAATGCATCCAACAAAACACCCCTTGTATATTATACATGTTATATATCCACGATCTGACTTGCTGCGCGGATTGGATTTTTTGTTTTTTCATGAGTTGGAATAAAAGGCAAAACGAAAGTAAAAGTACGTGGCAGTAGGAAGTCAGTCTTCTTTTATTTTAAAAATAAAAACACGGGCAATAATTCTGAGAATGGCCAACTCCCGTGCTCTGACCTTGGCGGACTTTCCAATGCTCCGTGAACGTCAAGCGGCGGATGAATCGGACCTGTTGCAGAGAACAAAGAAGAAGATGAGAGGAGGTGCGGAGGTTGGATTTGAGGAGCAGAATGGCTCGTTTGTCTCCTACGCTAATAAATTGAAGGGTGAGAGTAGGGGGGAATTGGAGACGGATCAGATGGAGGAAGAAGGTTTAGATGATTTCGGCATTACAATTGTGCATCATTTAAAGGGGAATATGAAGATTCCTGAACTGGTGTTTTCGGAGGAGGGGCGGAAGAAACTTAGGAAGCCGTTCGCTAAAAGTTTAATTGTCAAGTTACTTGGATGGAGACTTAGCTTGCGATCGATGGAGATGAAGCTGCAGAGTCTTTGGGGCAAACTGGGAACGGTTTCAGTGGTGGATCTAAGGAATGATTTCTTTGTGGTAAATTTCACCAACTGGGAGGATTACCATAGAGCCTTGAGTGAGGGTCCTTGGCTTATCGCAGATCACTATTTGACTGTAAGGGAGTGGAGGGGCAATTTTAACCCGCTGACAGAGGTACTAGAAGAGGTCTTGGTATGGGTTAGACTCTCAGATCTGCCCCTAGAGTGTTATGGGGAAACTGTGTTGCAGGCAATTGGGGATCAAATAGGTAAAACAGTCAAGGTTGATGCAACTACACTGATGCAGACCCGAGGGAAATTTGCAAGAATTGGAGTGCAGGTAGACCTGTCTAAACCTCTACTTCCTCAATTTCTTATTGAAGGAAGGGAGTTTAATGTTGAATATGAGGGCTTACATTCCCTATGCTATCATTGTGGCATGTATGGGCACGGTGAGAAGGATTGTGCAGACAAAGTGGAGGAAACGAGTAAGATGAATGAGGGAATGGAGGAATGCGAAGGGCAGGATAGATCTAGGAGCCTTTATGGAGAATGGACTTTAGTCCAAAAAAGGAGGGGGCCAAGGAGAGCAGGAATGGAAAGAAGAGGTTTTGTCTCTTCAGGAGGAGTTGGAGCTGATCAATCCAGATTTAATGGGTTGGAGGTTGAGGAGCTGGACAGGGTGGAGGAAGCAGTGGGAAATGATAGAAGTCTGGTTGTTTCCTCGGTTGCCACTGAGGGAAAGAGGAAGAATAGAACAGTTGACAATAGAACATGGGAAGAAGTGGCTGAGGAGTGGAAGAGTAGCAGTGGTGAAAGGGCAATTATTCCTGTGAACACAACATTGGCAAGAAATAGGTGGTTAAACAAGAGTGGAAAAGAAGGCAATACTCTAAGGGATGACGTGAGGGAAGCCTCTCAAGGTAAGGAGGGGAAGCAAGAGAGGGATTATTTAAAAGAACTAGATCCGAATGTGATAAGCCTCAGAGAGGCTAGGATTGAGAGCAAGGAGGCTTGGATAGATAAGGAAGGGGGGAAGCCGCCAGATAAAGATAGAGATAATGATGAGCTGTTTATGGAAGCAGTGGAGGAGAGTGCTGAGATGCGGGTTGATTAATCTATTGATTCTTTCTTAATGAATATGAATAAAAATATTCTAGCTTGGAATTGCAGAGGTGCAGGAGGAAAGGAGGTGAAGAGGGATCTGAGAATGATGATTAAGATGAAAAGACCAGAGATTGTCTGTATCATGGAAACCAGAGTACCTGCGAGAAATGCCCAAAATTTCTTTCGAAGTTTAGGGTTTATGGAAGTGGAAGCCATTGAGGGGGTAGGATTTGCAGGAGGAATTTGGGTGGCCTGGAACAAGTCAAGGGTCAGCCTAACGTGTTTAGAAAAAAGACAGCAATATGGATTGTTTCGAATCCAGTTTGATGGGGAGGAGCCATGGCATATTGTCTTTGCTTATGTGACTCCAAGAGACAGAGAGAAAGAAGATTTCTGGAGGAATATGGAGAGAATAGCAAAGGAGTGTAATGGGCCTTGGATGGTGTTGGGAGATTTCAATGACATTAGAGGAGCTCATGAGAAAAAAGGGGGAGCTCCTATCAACTCTAGAAGATGTGATACATTTGAAGACAGAATTAACAATTGTGGGCTGTTAGAAGTAGCATCTTGTGGTAATAGATTCACTTGGAAAGGACCCCTTATTCATGGTTATCAAAGGGTGTATGAGCGCCTTGATAGGGGTTTGTGCAGTGCTGATTGGAAAATTAAATTTCCGGAGGCGATTGTCAAAGTTTTGGCAAGACTGGGTTGTTCAGATCATCACCCTATTCTTCTGAGCATGGAAAGGTATGAAAGAAGAGGTGAGCACCCTTTTCGCTTTGAGGCTGCCTGGTTTATGCATGATTCCTTTGAAAACGAAGTCAAGGAAGGCTGGGGAAGAGCAGGAGTGGCTACAGACAGACTTGTAAATTTGCAGAGGACACTTAGCAAGTGGAACAAAGAGGTGTTTCTGAATGTTCACTCAAAAAAGAAAAGGCTCATTGCAAGATTGGAAGGAATTCAGAATCAGATTGCTGCATCGGATAGACATTATATCCATTTGTGTAAACTAGAACAAGAGATACAAGGGGAGCTTAGAGATGTTTTGAGACAGGAGGAAATGCTTTGGTTTCAGAAGTCCAGAACCCTTTGGATTAATGATGGTGACCGTAACACTAGATACTACCATCTAAAGACTATTGCAAGAAGAAGGAGAAATAAGATTGCCATGCTTAAAGATGAGAATGGGGAATGGATTGAGAATCAAGAAGAGTTGAAAAGTTTGGCTCTGGAGTTCTATAGGAACCTCTTTAGGGAGGAGGGGACAGGAGGGAAGCTTGAAGTAGGGGTGTCTTACCCTAGAATCAGTGAAAGAGATTGGGATCATTTGGAAAGGTCAGTGAATTCAGAGGAGATAAGAGAAGCGATATTTTCTATCGGGGCTTTTAAAGCACCGGGGATGGATGGTTTTCCAGCAGTCTTTTTTCAGAAGGAGTGGCATGTGGTTGAAGAAGAGGTGGTGACTTCCATTAAGAAACTATGGAATGGAGAGCTAGAGATGAAGGAAGTTAATGATACCTTGATTGTCCTGATTCCTAAAGTTGATCGGCCAGAGAATATGAAGCAGCTTAGACCCATTGCTCTATGCAATGTGTTATATAAGTGTATCTCAAAGATCCTAGTTAAGAGGCTTAAAGGAATTTTGGGAAGGCTTGTAGCTCCAAATCAAGTAAGTTTCGTACCTGGTCGTCATATCCAGGATAATATTATTGTGACTCATGAGTTACTACATTCTATGAGATCTATGCGGGGTCGAAAGGGTTTCTTTGCTATAAAAGTGGATCTAGAGAAAGCTTATGATCGTGTGAGATGGGGTTTTATCCAGGAAGTCTTGGAGGAAATGGGGATGAAGGAGAAGTGTCGTGATCTGTTAATGAGATGTATTAAGTCTGTAGGAACACGTTTGCTTTGGAATGGAGAAAAGACTGAGGCATTTTTGCCCTCATGAGGAATCAGACAGGGGGATCCCTTGTCCCCTTATGTGTTTGTTCTAGTAATGGAACGACTGACTCACATTATCCAGGAAGCAGAGAGGAAGGGGGAATGGAAAGCTATCCGTATTGGAAGAAGGGGACCAAGTGTTACACATTTAATGTTTGCTGATGACCTTCTTCTTTTTGGGGAGGCAACACTACAGCAAATTAAAGTAGTTAAAGACTGCTTAAGAAGGTTTGGTGAGGCTTCTGGGCAGAAGGTCAACTTTGCTAAGTCTGCCATATTGTTTTCTAAAAATGTCTCTGCTAATAAGAAGGAAAGTTTGGCCCGAGAGGTAGGTTTTAGGGTGACTGAGGATTTAGGAATACATCTTGGAGTTCCTACTTATTATGGAAGGAACAAGACCAGAAGTTTTGGAGGATTGGTGGAGAAGGTGAAACGAAGATTGGGAGGTTGGAAGGTCAATGTGTTAAGTATGGTAGGGAGGGTCACGCTGGCAAAATCTGTTATTAGTGCTATCCCCCTGTTTTCTATGATGGTGACGAAGATTCCTACACAGATCATTGGCAGTATTGAAAGGGCCCAAAGGGCATTTATTTGGGGCCATTCAATGGAAGAGAGGAAAATGCATCTAATCAACTGGGAAACGGTCCAAAAACCCAGAGACAGAGGAGGTTTAGGGGTCCTAAACTTGCAGCATATGAATGAGGCCTGCTTGATGAAGCTGGTGTGGAGATTGAGGAGTGAGGGAAGTGGAATCTGGGCTGATGTTCTTAGGTATAAATATAATAAAGGGAAGGCCTTTAACAGTACTGTTAAGGTGCAACGCAACGCATCTCCTATTTGGAAAGACATTGGAAGTGTATGGGAAAAACTGAATGAGGGAATCTGGTGGGGTGTGGAGTCAGGAGAAAATGTGAATTTTGGAGGGACGAATGGGCAGCAAAAGGCGTCGTTTTACTCAATGAGCGACGCTGTGAAGTAGAGGGAGAGAAGCTAAATTGGGTGGTAGCTGACTTAGTTAAAGATGATGGCTCCTGGGATTGGCCTATTCTGAAAGATTTACTCTCTGATCAAGCCTGTATGAGGATCCAAGCTCTTAGGCCACCGATAAGAGGGGATAAGGAAGATTGCATTTTTTGGGGGAATGACAGTACTAAGTGCTATAGTGTGCGTAGTGGTTACAGATTACTCAGAGATTGTCGACTGGGGGAGAAAGAAAAGATTTGGGACTTGATATGGAAGTGGAAAGGACCGGAACGGATTAGAAATTTTCTCTGGATCTTGGCTAATAATAGCCTTCACACTAACAATTTAAGGAACAGAAGATGGGGGGCAGTAGACGAATGTGGAGTGTGTGCAAAGAGTGAAACTTCAATTCATGTGGTTAGGGATTGTGAACTAGCTACAAGACTGTGGTTTGGGTTGAACAACAAAATCAAACCAGGATTTTTCAACAGCAGTACCAAAGAATGGCTTGTAGAAAATCTGAAAAGTAAAGAGTTGTGTAGTGGTGTACCTTGGGCAGTGATTTTTGGAGTCGCTTGCTGGAGCTTATGGAAACGGCGAAACCTTCAAGTCTTCGAACAGAGGACGGAAGAGGCGAATCCTTGGCAGATCTGGTCCTTTGCTATGGAGGTGATCAAAGCACGGGAGGTTGATAAAGAAGTGAGGGGGCATCGTGTAGATGCTAATGAGAACAGGTGGAGTGTGCCAGAGAGAGGTTGGGTGAAGGTTAATTCGGACGGATCAAGCAGAGGAGACCCTGGCCGTGCTGGCTGCGGTGGTGTGTTGCGAGATCATGAGGGAGAATGGATTGTTGGATTTGGCAAGGGCTTAGGTTGGTGTACAGCCTACGAAGCAGAGTGTTGGGGAGCTTTCCTGGGATTGCAGTTGGCGCTAGAAAAAGGCTACCAGAGAATTCATCTTGAGGTTGATTCTGAGAGCTTAGTGAAGGCTTTGAGAGCGAAAACAAAAGAGGATGAACCAATTGATGCTCACACTAGAATGGTTAGAGAAGCTGCAGATCGCTGTGCAAGGATTAGGATCTCGCATACTCGGAGAACGAACAATGGGTGCGCTGATGCGATGGCAAAATGGAGTGCCAGCTGGGATGGGTATGAGGAAAGACGCCTTTTTTCGAAGCCCCCGACAATAGTGGAAGAAGTATTCAGTAAAGATAAGATTGGAAGTAGGTGGCGTGATGCTGGTTGAGTTCTTGTCGGCTTTGTTTTTTTTGTAGTTTTCTTTTCTGCTTTTCTGGGCTGTGGGCCCCCTTTCTACCAAAAAAAAAATAAAAAAAATAAAAACACGGACGGGATGCATCCTAATTGTTGGCTACTAATAAATTAAATAAAAAAAAGGATGATTACTTGTTTTAATACTACCTCCGGCCATAATTATAAGAGTTAGTTGACTAATTTGAAAAGATTAAAAAAACAAGTTAAGTTAGTTATTTATAATAAATATGTATTGTCTTTTCTAAAATATCTTTACTAATAAAGTGTACTGACTAGAACTACTATTGTTAAAAGGACTATCTTGAGAAAAAATACATAAATTTAAAAAATAAAGTGAATTGAGATCTTATATTTAAGATAAAAATAAAAATCAAATAAAATCTTAATTAAAGACCCGAGGTAGTATTATTTAGTGACGCTTTCACAGGGCGTACAAGTTATGTGTGGAAGTGTGGAAGCATTTCAAATAAATGGCATTTATGAAGGAATAATCCGGAAGATGAAAAAAGTAAACTATGTAAATCACGAAGTGAGAAAAAGAAAAGAGAACTACCAATATGGAAAGGGATAAGGAAATCACATCGATCTAGCAGAGTTAAACCAAGAAAGAAACAAAGGGAAATTAATAGACAACAGAGTGGCACAGGCTACAACGCGGAGCTCTCAGGAAGAAGAGAGAGATATGAAGCTATTTTCTGGAAACTAAACCTGGAAAAGTGGAAAACTCCCCCGGAGAGTAGTAGTGATTAAGACGATTGTCTTCATGTGACTGGGTAACAGCTCGGACGCGGTTATCACCATCTCAGACTGGCCAATGCAGTAACCGCTGGTTTGGCCTCTTCTTCCACCCTCTCTCAAGTATTTCCTCTACGCGAAGCCACGCGTTACAAAAGTAGGAAACTGAATTTTCATTGATTTTATATTTAACTTTGATTTTTTTTATATTTATTTTCTCAGTGGAGAAATGGACACACACTTTACTGATTCTGACGTTCTCATTACAGAGATTATTTCTCTTTCTCCCCTATCAATACGTACTCGTCACCGACCTAGCCTTCCCATACAGACTATCAACCCAGCCTCTCCTCCCGTATTTTCTCAACAATGGCCTTCGTGATTCTCCTCTTTCTACTCTTTCCTTCACTAGCTTTTGCAGAATCTCTCTCTCCTGCAGCTCTATGCCACCATTCCCCCAACCTTCTTACTGCATGTCCCTCCTTCCTCCTCAAAACGCCACCGTCCATGACTCTTGTCGCTCCTCTATCCTCCAGTCCTTATTGCGAGCCCGCAGATTCTTGAACTCCCTCGACCAACTTCTCCAACGGCGCTCTTCTTTGTCTGCTGTGGCGGTCGCTGACCTTGAAGATTGCCGAACGCTTGCCGACCTCAACGTAGATTTTCTCTCAAATTCCTTGCAAATTATCAATAAGGCGGCTGGGTCTCTAGCAGATGTCGAAGTTGAAGGTGTTCAAACCATGCTCAGTGCTGTTTTAACCAACCATGAAACCTGCTTGGAAGGCCTCCAAGACACTTTCGTTTCCTCTCATCCCAACCTTGTAAGAAAGCTGGTTTCCCCACTTACCGTCGACAAGAAGTTTTACGGAGCCTCTTTATCCCTTTTTACAAAAGGTTGGGTCCCCGCCGTGAGTAAACAAAAACCTGAATTATCGCGACACCATCCTCCCCAAGTGCAAGTTGTATTCCGAGATGGTCATTTGTCTCTCGCGATGTCGAACAGAACACGTGCTATCTTCGAGGCTGCTAGTGGTAGAAAACTAGACCTGGCTTTTGCAGTTCCCAACATGTTGCATGTTAAAGACATCGCGATTGTAAGTAAAGACGGAACAGGTGACTTCACCACCATCAACGATGCCCTTTCTGCAGCTCCCGACGACTCTTCCTCTTCGGAAGGCTACTTCTTGATCTATGTCTCGGCCGGAGTTTACGAAGAATACATCTCCATCGATAAGAAAAAGACCTACTTGATGATGATGGGAGATGGTATCAACAGAACTATCATCACAGGCAATCATAGCTATGCATATAAGTGGCATCCCTATAGATCTGCAACATTCGGTAATTGATTCAAACAGACACCTATATATAATGTCAAAACGATATATTCTTGCTTAATCAATGCGAGCATTGTGAATGCATGCAGCTGTGCACGGGAAGGGATTCATGGGAGTGAATATAACATTTCGTAACACGGCAGGGCCGGAGAATCACCAAGCGGTGGCAGTGCGGAACTCAGCAAATTTGTCCTTGTTTTATAGCTGCAGTTTTGAGGGATACCAAGACACACTGTACGCACATTCCATGAAACAGTTCTACAGAGAATGTGATATATACGGGACGGTGGATTTCATATGCGGGAATGCGGCTGCCGTGTTCCAAAACTGCAATATTTATGCTCGTAAGCCTATGAGGAAACAGTTCAACGCCATCACAGCACAAAGTCGAGAGAGCGATGATCAGAACACGGGCTTCTCAATACATAACTGCACAATTAGAGCAGCGGAGGATCTAGCAGGGACGGCGGCTACGTACCTAGGAAGGCCGTGGAAGCCACTGTCGAGGACGGTTTACATGGAGAGCTTTATGGACAACCTCATAGACGGGGCTGGCTGGCACTTCTGGGACAATGATAGTGAGAGTCGATTGGATAGCCTGTATTACGCGGAATATAATAATTCAGGTCCGGGATCTAACACCTCACATCGGGTCACTTGGAACGGTTATCATGTCATTAACTCTTCCATTGCTGCTGATTTCACCGTCTCCAGGTTCTTGTTAGGGGATTATTGGCTGCCCCTCACTGGCGTCCCCTACACCGGTGGGTTAATTAACTCCTGATTTCCTCAATCCTATTGTATATAAATACTTTTCCTTCTTTTTCCCATTAATCCTCTAAGTTCTTAAATCGTGTTTTCTTAATTTTGTTATGAATCGTTTGAATTCTTATATGTGAATTTTATATTATTTATATATAGATTTTAGTCTTGGTATTTCTTGTTTTTTCTTGCTATTATTTTCAAAAGAAAATAAAGTTTTAACTATAACTTTGATATACGAAATCAAAAAAATCTCTTAATATAGTCTCTTAATTATTGCCGCGTGAGTACAAATAACTAAAGCCACTACTGGGTTGACACTTGATCATGTCTTTTAGAAGCAATGTCCAACTAAAATTCAATTAATTTATTTAAAATATTCAATTCCGCGTTTATCATAATCGTATAATGTTACTATTAATATATGAGAAGAAAAATCAGTAAAAATTCATATGTCATAAAATATGAGTTTAACATATATATATATATATATATAAACATTTGAATACGGTGACCTAGCTACAGCACATTACGTAGGAGTAACATCATTAATAAAGGCTATATGCAGATCCGGAACGAGTCATTACATAAGCCGTGGGCGATGGGCGAACTTTGTGTTGGTGGTGATATTTTTTGAAAAGCACAAGCAAATGAGCCCAAGCTTTTAACATTGTCAGCCACAAAATTGACCCTTTTTTTGCTACTTTAATAGAAAAGACGACCGACTAGAAGAAATACAAATGTTTTACTTTTAAGGGGAAAACCCAAGCTGTTCTGCATATGTAATTGGCATATCTGCTCCTGGGAATTTCAAGTTGCACAGTAGTCTTCCTTATTTAAAAGCTTTCTGAGCTGTCTTGTGCTATATATTAACATCGGACACGAAGCTTGATGTTTTAGATATGGCAACCAATGTATATGTATCTGGCTATTTACGAAATTATAACAAAACGTAAGTGCATTTGGAACGCAGATCTGCTCTAAAAGCTCTAACACCTAAGCAGGACCATTCTAGAAATGGAAGAAAACGTTGAAAGGCACCGTCCACGGCAGTGAAAGCATTAATTTGACGCGCAGAATATTCCAAAGAAGAACAGAGGATGTTGAGATTTAGAGTTGGTTGCATATGGCGCCGGCAATGACGCATAAATTGTAGAAACCTTTGGCCTTGGCCAGCATGACTTGCTCGGTGCCTTCGAGAGAGGCCTTGCAGAGATCGGTGGCATCCGTAGCAACCTGGAGCCACTTCTCAGTATCATAGGAAGCATCCGCCGATACTGCATTAAGTGCGATATCAATCTGTTCTCCTGCATCCGACAACATGTCTCTGCAATCCGATAATCCCTGTTGAACCTGAGGATCCAACCTGTCGTTTTCCATCAGAACCTTCAATTCATAAATCACCATGGTTGCATTCTTCGATGCCATTCTCAGAAACGATATTGCCAGGTCCTTGGCCGTCAAATTCCCTTGCCCATGCACCACCAGTGGGTCCGCTTTTAATGTTTTCACACAGACAGCCTTCGAAGCTGTCTTCCCACACACCTCCTCGATCACAGCGTTAACATTCTGCTGCCCTGCGCTGCTCTTATCACCTGAGCCTTGTGTCGTACGAGGCACCGTTACGAGGCAAATAACCAGCACTGCTAACACGTGACATGAAATGCGTTTCATTTTGTTTATTGTACTTTTTGGTGTTACTGTCCTGCTTGTGTATACTGTGTGTGTTTAATTTTAATACAATGGAGTTGATAACTTCACGGATGGGTCCAAGTCCGGAGGGTTAAAATAGGTTGGAAGGGGATGGGGGAGAGATGCATGCGCTTCGCCTCTCGTCAATTCCTTGATTATTACTTGCATGCGTTCCCCTTGAAACCAGGTCATTTGACTATTTTCGTGTCCAACGCTTCATTTACAGGGGGATTGACAATTTTAGCTTCATTTTTACCGTCTCCTCTTTTAATATAAAAACTAATTTAACTTTTAATTTAGTTTTAGATTTGATATTCCAATTCATTTTGTTTCTTATATTTATCTGTTTTTTAAAAATATACTTTGTTGTAATTACACATGTTAAATGTTCTATTAAATGATAGTTCTAACTAATACACATGATTAGTAAGGATATTTTAAGGAAGAAAACACATATTTGTAAATAATAACTAATTTAATAAACTTTTTACATTTACTTAAATTAGTTTTTAATTATATCAGACAGAGGAGGCAGAATATGATAAGCACTGCGTTTGTGCCAAAATGCTATGCCCTGGAATCCAAGTAAAGTGGCACACTAGGACCAGCTATTAGGTACTCACAACCTCGGCCTCGGTTTTTAAGATTCATGAAAATTTATTGGGTGTTCTAGTCCATTAATAATAAACTAATTTATAAATATTAAACAAGTAGTTAAATTTATGAATTATTATCATGTAAAAATACGCATGCATTTATCCAAAATACCCTTTTTTTTTTATTAGTCACTTAAATTTATAAGGATGCAGCTTTTCACATGAAATGATATAGAATAAAAGAGTGAGCAAAATTATTTTTAAAAAAAAGGTAACATGTGAAGACAATATTTGCTGGCAAAAAAAACGTGAGAATATAATTTTTAGAAAACGAAAAAAGTGAAACCTTATTTTGTTTTAAATTACAGCACATCCATAAGTTAAGTTTCATATTTAAAACAAAAGTGCTACTTTTTGAGTTTCAACCAGGAACAACGAAGAATCATATGGACAAACCCCCCAATAGAATCTCCGGAGACCCTACACCAGGATAGTATTAAACGGGGAAGCATCCGGAGAGTCAGCTTTTTTTTTTTTTTTTAACGAAAAAAGTGCTACATTTTGCACGCAATGGACTTTATCATGAATATGCACTCATAAATCGGCGTCCGATCCTGTGCATGTTACTCATCTACACAGATCGATATTAAATTTTAATTCCTGTCTGATTATAATTTCCCCCAAAATCGTATTGCATATAGATTTAAAAAATTATATTTAAAAAAATGAAGTTTTTTTTTAAAATTTTTTGATTTATATATAAATCGTTTTAAGCCAATGTCCAGCCTAGCAACATCAACAATGATATGCAACGCATGAATTTTTATCAAATTAGGTAAAAATAGTATTATTAATTATATCAAAAAAATTTAAAATCCTTTTTGGATAAAAATCAATGTAAAAAATAATTGCATAAAGCCGATAAAAGCGGAATCCTTGGGGAGGGATCGCTGCAGCATGTTGATTTTTCAATTCGGAAGAGGGAGCGGAGCAAAGGCGAAGAACAAATCGGGGCGCGAAAATGGAGAAAATAGAGCACACCAGGGTGATGACGAACGGGATCAAAATGCACTTGGCTTCAATTGGATCGGGCCCAGTAGTCCTTCTGCTCCACGGCTTCCCTGAGCTTTGGTATAGCTGGCGTCACCAGCTCCTCTCACTTGCCTCGCTCGGCTACCGGGCCATCGCTCCTGACCTTCGAGGCTATGGCGATACTGACGCCCCGCCCTCTCCTACTTCCTATTCCGCGTTACACATCGTCGGCGACATCGTCGGACTTCTCGATGCCCTGGGCATTGAACAGGTATTTTTGGTGGGTCATGATTTTGGCGCCGTCATGGCTTGGTATTTCTGCTTGCTCAGGCCCGACCGTGTGAAGGCCTTGGTCAACCTGAGCGTGGCCTTCAGCCCAAGGAATCCGAGAAGGAAGCCACTTGAGAGCATGAGAGCCTTGATGGGCGATGATTACTATATCTGCAGGTTTCAGGTGAATTCGTCTTCTACACTTGTCATGATTGCTTCTGCCTGCTAATCTCGGATTTAGTTTTTATAAGGAAGCTGTTTTCGTTTATTTCTAGTCCGAAAATTTGATAGCTAACAAGCTGAATTAGATATTAGAGTTGATGCATAATATAAGAGTACTTTGGATTGCCATGCCATGTCAAAATTTGATCTCCAATTTCTTCGTTCTTGCTGGCCATAAATAAGATTACTCACCCATAAGCTGTCCATGACGAGCATTAACTTACGTGTATTTAATCCCCGGCAATACAAATTCTATCCCTCTTCAACCAAGCAATGCTGGCCGATTACATTAATTTTTTGCCTTAGTGCATTGTAAATTCGTGCAATGCAACTGAGGAGAATTTACAAAACTTCAAACCAACCGTTTAAAAGTAGAAGGGGGCAGCCTAACCTCAGGGGCCAGGGCACTGTTTAATGATATGATTATAGGTTTTCGCATGAATAATTAATCCAGTAGTAGTGCCTTTGATTTCTTTAAGAACATTCACAACTTATTTCTTACCTTGACAAGGTCCGGTCTCTTCCATTCATAACGTTTGATTTTTTAATGAAGTTTTATTCCGCCAAAACAATTCCTATAATAGTTTTATTTGGGCTTCATATGCCCATGGTTTTCAGAAAATATTCAATCCACAGACAAAGTAGTAAAGCACAAGCGGTATGCTGAGTTCTGATTCTTCTGAACACTCTTAGTGTGACTTAGTTAATGATACTGACCAATATTTCTTGACTTACGGATATCAAACTACATATGGGCGTGCATGTTTTAACCTTCTTCTTACTCTGCTTCATGATTCGTTATCTAAAAGCAAGTTGTGATTGACATGAAGCAGTACCTTGCGATTCAATCTTGTCCCATTATTCTTTCCATTGTTCGACTATATGTTAATTTTAATTGGTAGTTATTTTCATATAGAGTTTTAGCAGTTAAACTAATATCTGCGATCCGCTTGTCCTGTAGAAACCGGGGGAGGCTGAAGAAGAGTTTGCCCGTGCTGGTACTGCTAGAATAGTGAAGAAATTTTTAGCATCTAGAAATCCACGTCCGCCTCGTGTACCTAAGGAGATAGGATTTGGAGGTTCACCTCACAGTCCAATAACTTTGCCTTCTTGGCTGTCTGAAGAAGATGTCAATTATTATGTCAGTAAATTTGACCAGAAAGGCTTTACTGGTGGTTTAAACTACTATCGTGCGCTGGATCTGTAAGTTTCTGTCATTCTCTGTTGGGAAAGCAGACTTCTTGCATGAAAAACCCTACTTATAAGATGTTCAAATATAACAAATAAAACATGGTGAAAATTTATATGTTGTCGATGCCCTGCATAATAGAAATTCAATGATTTTTTCACAGATGTCAAACTCCGATGTTTCGTAGATATAGTTCGAAGTCTTAAAAAAATTGAACGCTGATGTATTAAACGATACCAAAAATTCCAGTTTCTCCCATCTGTTGATCGTGATCCTTTTTCTCGGTTTCTTATCCCACCCGCCAATTTGGTTGTCTGCAGAAACTGGGAACTCACAGCGCCATGGACTGGGTTACAGATCAAAGTTCCAGTCAAGTTTATTGTAGGAGATCTGGACATTACATATAATACTCCAGGCGTTAAGGAATACATACATAATGGCGGGTTTACGAGAGATGTTCCGTTCTTACAAGAAGTGGTTGTTATGGAAGGAGTAGCTCACTTTCTAAATCAAGAAAGGCCAGAGGAGATCACTGCGAACATTTATGACTTCATCAAGAAATTTTAAGCTGACCGTCACAAGTTTTTAGCGTATGACTATATGTACCACTAACAATGCCCACCCTGAGGCTTGTCAATGCTTGTATGAATGTCAAGTCTGCAGAACTTCTTGCACATCAGCTAGAGTTTCCTCTTTTCTTTACTTGGTTTTCAAAAGTTACAAGGGAATTGTGAGAGGCATGGTTACTTGAATTGATCGTGGGATTTTGATTGCCCAATCTTTCTCACACAAGTTGATGGAAAGCTTGTAGAGACATTTGGGGCTAGCCGAACCCATATGCAAGTTCCCTCGAGATGAGAAGAAACGGATATTCTGGTGTTACATGATATTGAGGTTGGAGGACTCGTGCTAATTGCTTAACAGAGATAGCAACTACTCCACCTCCCTCCAAAACAGCTGTCATGAGTCGCATGCCACACGCAGCACATGAACGCCCTAATTCTTTCTGTCCCACCCCACCTCATTCTCCATATATTCTTTTAGTCCTAAATATAAGACTTTTTTTATACTTTTATAGTGTAAATTACATTACAAAAAGGGTCTTATATTTAGAACCGGAGTATTACGAAAGCTTCACCAAATTGGCCTTGCTGCCCTAATAATTGTTCTGTTTAAGGTTTTCCGTTTAAACTTCTATCCTTGTACTTGTTTCTCATCGACGTTGATGCTCTTTTGGCTGAATCCAGGAAGCAATTGCGTTTGTTGACTAAACTTTCATTTGTTATATTTATCTGCTTACCGTGTTTAAAGCAGGCAGGCAGCAATGTTTTTATTTTTACCATGCGAGGCGAAGGAAAATCTTTACTAGTAAAATAAGGTCAGATCATGTGAGACCTCAAAAGATTAGCACCCGACTGACAGCAATGTTAAACTACCATGGATCAGTTGGACCACCCCAACCGCCCTTCATTTTTTCTCAGAAATTCATTAAAGAATTTAATCATCGTTGTTCGAAATACGTTGTGATGCATATTAATATTTTTACATTTTAAAGTTAAAATTTATTTTAACTTTTCTCTCATGTTCCTGTCTTCAAAATAGTATGAATCATATATACACATACACACACACATATATATATTATTTTACTAGATTGCATAGAAAATAATCGTGTGTCTGTGAGACAGGATTATAACTAGGACAAAACATGGGTTTATTTCTCCAACCAAATTTCAGCACATAAATTTTTTAAATTATAAAAAGTTACATGAATGTGATTTCAGATTCTCATTAAATTGTCCTTAATAATAAAAATCACACATAAAAAGATTTAGTTGAAAAAATGAATTTAGTTAATGGATCTTTATTTTCTGCTCCTCCTCATTACTAATATTAGTATTACTATTACTATTATCACAAAAAGAAGTCCACGTGCCGTTTGGGTTTCTGTCTCCGCCAACCTGTAATGCCTGATGCGTCCTCACAGACACAAATTGAGCTGCGAAGTACAAAATACGAGCACAAACTGCCGTTTCAATTTATGCTGCGGTGGCATTTTGGTCATTACACATTAAGAGCCGTCGTCAAAATCTTCAACTCCAGGCATCAGTTTTCTCCTTGGTTAACCGAGCGACTCTATGATTTGTCTAAATAACTGTCCTATCGCTACTAATCCGATTCCTATATCCCCTCCGGTTGTGACGGCTCCACGGTCCCCGGTCGCTTCCAGTTGCTTCGAATTGTGACGATGCAACCTTCCAAACCCCGTCGGAAGGTTGTTCCGGCGAACGGTGAAGACTCTGCTGACAAATTGGACCAGCTCCTTCTCTCATCCGCCATCTGCAACAACGAAGACTTGGGGCCATTTGTTCGCAAGGCTTTTGCTTCCGGAAAGCCCGACTCCCTTCTCCACCACCTCCGCCACTTTGCCCGCTCCAAAGAATCCGAGATCGAGGAGGTCTGCAAGGCGCACTACCAGGATTTCATCCTCGCTGTTGATGACCTTCGATCCCTCTTGTCAGACGTGGACTCCCTCAAGTCGGCCCTCTCTGACTCCAACTCCAAACTTCAGTCCGTTGGTCGCCCACTCCTCTCTTCCCTTGATGCCTTCGTGGAAACTCGAAACGTGTCTAAAAACGTTAATCTCGCACTCGAATCTGTGCGAACTTGTATTCAGTTGATGGAAGTTTGCTCCAGAGCCAACCGTCATCTGTCCGGCGATAATTTTTACATGGCTTTGAAATGCTTAGACACGATTGAGAGGGACTATTTGGACAAGACGCCGTCTTCTACGCTGAAGAGGATGCTGGAGAACAAGATCCCGGAGATTCGTTCCCATATAGAGAGGAAGGTGAGCAAGGAGTTTGGGGACTGGCTGGTAGAGATTCGAGTCGTGAGTCGTAATTTGGGTCAATTGGCGATCGGTCAGGCCTCTGCAGCGAGGCAAAGAGAAGAGGATCTAAGGATTAAGCAGCGTCAAGCGGAGGAACAAAGTCGGCTTAGCGTGAGGGACTGCGTTTATGCTCTGGAGGAGGAGGACGAGGAAGGGCTCGCTGTTGGCGGTGTTGGGATTGGAGAAGAAGGCAAGGATGGATATAACAATGGCGGAGCCATCCTAGGATTTGATTTGACACCGCTATATAGGGCTTACCATATACACCAGACATTAGGACTAGAAGATCGGTTTAAACGCTATTATTTTGAAAACCGAAAGCTTCAGTTAACATCGGACTTCCAGGTATCGTCGATGACTCCTTTTCTTGAATCCCATCAGACTTTTTTTGCGCAAATTGCGGGTTTCTTTATAGTTGAGGATAGGGTCTTGAGGACAGGTGGGGGTTTGATATCAAAAATGGAAGTTGAGAACTTGTGGGAAACTGCTGTAAGCAAAATGTGTTCTGTGTTAGAGGATCAGTTCTCCCGAATGCAAACTGCTAATCATCTTTTGCTCATTAAAGACTATGTGAGTCTACTAGGAGTAACCCTGCGAAGATACGGGTACCCCATTGATGCGCTGCTTGATGTTTTGAGCAAGCATAGGGATAAATACCATGAGTTGCTGTTATCGGACTGCCGTAAACAGATCGCCGAGGCGCTAGCAGCTGATAAGTTTGAGCAGATGTTGATGAGGAAAGAGTACGAGTATTCTATGAATGTGCTTTCCTTTCAAATACAAACATCGGATATCGTACCTGCTTTTCCTTACGTAGCACCCTTTTCATCAACAGTTCCAGATTGTTGCCGCATTGTGCGGTCTTTTATTGAGGATTCCGTGAGCTTCATGTCATATGGTGGGCAGCTAGAATTTTTTGAAGTTGTTAAGAAATATTTAGAGAGACTTTTAAGCGAAGTTCTGGACGGGGCTTTATTGAAGCTTATTAGTACATCAGTTCATGGTGTCTCCCAGGCGATGCAAATAGCAGCAAATATGGCTGTCTTGGAGCGTGCTTGTGATTTTTTCTTCCGCCATGCTGCACAGCTTTCAGGGGTTCCCTTGAGAATGGTGGAGAGAAACAGGAGGCAGTTCCCCTTGAGCAAAGCTCGTGATGCCGCAGAAGAGACGCTCTCTGGACTGCTTAAAGCTAAGGTTGATGGATTCATGACCTTGATTGAGAATGTAAATTGGATGGCTGATGAAGCACCTCAGAGTGGGAATGAGTATGCAAACGAGGTCATAATATATTTGGAAACTCTAGTTTCAACAGCTCAGCAGATATTACCGGCTCACGTCCTTAAAAGGGTCCTGCAGGAGGTTCTTTCTCACATATCAGAGAAGATAGTTGGGGCTTTAGCAAGTGATTCTGTCAAGCGGTTTAATGTGAGTGCCATCACAGGGATTGACGTGGATATCAGGCTTTTGGAATCATTTGCGGATAATCAGGGTCCCCTTTTCTCAGACGGGGATATTGATCAGTTAAAAATGGCACTTGCTGAGTCAAGGCAGTTAATCAATTTGCTTTTAAGCAATCATCCAGAGAACTTCCTGAGCCCGGTGATCAGGGAGCGGAGTTACAGTGCCTTGGACTACAGGAAAGTAGTAACTGTATCAGAAAAGTTAAGGGACCCTTCAGAGCGACTCTTTGGAACCTTTGGTAGTCGGGGAGCGAGGCAGAATCCCAAAAGAAAATCATTGGATACATTAATAAGAAGACTTAAAGATGTTAGCTGATTGAGGTCAGAGTTGTATGTAAGATCCTTACACTGATTATTTTTCCTTTCTGTTTCAACCCGTTTTTATTTTTATTTGAGCTGCCTAATATTATTTCCGAAATGAATTAAGGATAAAGCCTGCTTGTCACTTCCTTGTGCAAATCTTGTTCGAAATATTCCACTGTTATGTTCATTTTTTGGGGTTCACCGAGACAAGTGCAAGTCATGTAATTGGATTTGTTATCTTCGCTTACTTTAGAGTTCATTGAGAAATTTTTGAAGGCTGAAACAAGACCCTGCCGGATCCCGTCAGACTTCTGCCCGCAGAAGCCTATTATCTTCATCTGTGCTGAATTGTAACATACTAACATGATGCTTGTCTTGTGAGTAATTGCTGGTGCACGTTCAAGACTCTGGGCTCTCAGGTTAGAGAGTTCCAGATTTAGTTGGAATAGATTTCTAGATATCTGGTAGTCATTGTTTGGGCATTTGTCGCTTCTTGAATCATGCAATATACCATTTTGTTTGTTTGTTAACCTCTTGTCAAAACACACAGGATTGACGAATTTCCCGTGTTCTGACTTGTGCTTTTACATTGATTATTAATGAGGATCAAGAGTCGAGAGATATGTTGTATAAATTAAAGGCAGCGCACTTCGAGCTCTCTGGTAACCGTTTTGATTTCCCTAGGCTAGTGAAATTCAAATAGGCTTTTCTCAAACCCCCAATCCATAATTCATGCAAAGGCCTTGCTTGTGTTGAGCATGCTAGTCAGGTTTATAGATCAACACGCGTGCAGACATGCTGTTGCTAATAGTTACATACATGTCACATGGACCAGAAGGAGTCGTAATGTTGTGTTGCTTTCTAAGTACCTTTTTAGTTTTTTGGGTTTATGCGTTATATGCTTGTCAGCTTGGACTCATTGCATATATGGCTGTGGAGCTCATCTCATCTGTCAATGCTTGTCGAGTGATTTGGACATCACTTTTCATGTTTTAATTGAAAATTACATATTCGATTTATGTATAGTCATAAGTATGTTTTTTAACTGCAGCTTTGAATTTTTGAAATCGATGGTAGAGTAGGATTCCTCTACTAGGAAGGTATAGATTTAGCATCATGTGTGGATAGGTCCCGTTTGGTATAAATTATGATGAAATAGGATGGAATATAAATATAGATGTGATATGTGTGTGTTTTTTAGAATTGAAAGACAAGCCTAAACTTGGCAACAAACAGAGACTACAGCGTATATGAGCCAGATAGAAGGCCATACGCTATGGTGGAGGGAATGAAGAAGGGGCTCAAAAATAATCATATGGATCAATACCTAGGGGCCCGAGGTAGGATGGTTTGATTGGATGTATTTGGAAGGTGCATGGGATGGGAATGAGGAGGTGCGTGGAGTTAAGTCAAAGGAAAGGCGGCGGTGGTGGTTGTGGTTGTGGTTGTAGATTGGAGAAATGGGTGGGGCGCGTTGGCGTGTGAGGGCGCGTCGCCATCTGCTGACACCATGTTGCCATCACTCTCTCTCTCTCTCACCCTTCACGCCCCGCTCCTTTCCACCTCGTCGCCCCGCCTTTCCCCATCCTCCCCTTCTTCCAAATTCCACCATGGAAGAGGTGGCCTTTCAGATTGTTGACAAATGTCCGGGCAACCTGCCTGCACGTAGGAGTTTTAGTAAATCTCTCTTCCCTTGAAAATTGAAATTTGGAAGTCTTTACTAAATAGTCTACGTATGATAAAAAAAAAATACCAATACATAATTAATAATTAAATAAAGTCATAAAAAATTTCAAATTAATTATTTTAATGGAGCACCTAATATTATGGGCTGCCTCGTTTTAGCCAGAGAATTTAACAGAAGCCTGATCAATTTGGGCGGATGGGACGTGGGGATTAGTTTTTTGTAAAATGATTTTACGAGATGAATGCGTGAAAAAAATTTGTCTCAACTTACAAAATCCCCTGCCAGATAGGACTAGAAAAACCAACAAAGCTCTTAAACCGAACATTTAGCGTAAGTTGTACGTTTTCAAAACTCAAACGCAAGACTTGTAGTTAAATTGGCTTGACTTCCTCCAGTGAAACCATGGTCTAACACTGGCTAAATTAGTAGTTTTCCAGCACAGGGAGAATGGAAGCATGAGAACGTGCGTGAGAGATTAAAATTATATTTTTTAATATAAAATTATTAATATAATCATTTTAATAACTGGGAAAATTCGAATTTTGCATAGAAAACTTCTCTTCTTTTTTTATTCTTTTTTTCCCCCCTTCCCAAACAGCAGAGAACTTGCCAAAGACTCTTGGGTTTAGTGGCACCAACCCTCCTCTTTGCGAGGGAGGTTACAGGATCAAACCTGTGCTGTGAAGGTTTTTTTGGCCTGTACTATCATGTGAACTAAGTTTGAAAACTGATAGAAACTGCATGATCCAGTTGATTAATCTGCTGTTTGGATTTGTCAGCGGCTGTTAAATTTGAGTTATAATGAAGTCAAAATTTAAAACTTAAAAATGAGTTTTAAAAAATCAAGTGGGTTTGAACCTAATAAAAGGAAGGAAAAAAAAAAGTCTTGAAAAAAACTATAAAAATGCCACAAAAAATGAAATATTGAATCCTTTAGAAAGCCCACTTCATTTTAAGACCCTTCATCATATGCATTATGTAACGTGGTTTGATTCGGGATTTGTTGGCAAAAAAGATGTTAACACCTAAAGCAATACATAAACTTTTAACCAAACTTGGTCTATGTTTAATAAGTTATGAAATTATAATTTACGATATTGTTAGTTTGCGGTTATGCTGTGAGATTTTTTTTTTGGTATGCTGTTGTGAGATTTTATTAACGCCTGGATTAGATTGAGGATTTTTACACATACAATCATATATCATCTGTTCCACTCTCAATCTAACTAGTTAAGAAATCCCCTATATGTACATTTTATGTAAGCTAAGACAAAACTCCTCTTATATACTTATCTCGTATTCAGTAAATTATTATTAAGAAACTATTTATAAACTATTTCAAACAGGCGCTAAATTATAAAACTGAAGCTCGGTTGTGTTTTCCAGGTTAACTTTGGCCTTTTAAGGGCTTGTTTGGATTGCCGTTACAAATGGCAAAAGCACACGGGAAAGTGTGAAACTGAGGTTTGTGGCTTGTTGTAGCTCAAAAGATTGTTTGGATGGAGTTTCTTTTCTAACTGACTTATGGAAAAAAGTAACTTTTCTAACTGACTTATCTAACGCAATCTGGATTAACTTTTCTAACTGACTTATGAGAAAATTGTGCAAAGCTTACAATCTAATTAGTTATGTGATTACATTTACTTTAATTAGAGACCAAATAAATTTAATTTATATTCATGTTTGTTCATTATGTATATTTAATTAATTATCTATAATGTATTTTCAATTTTTTTTCCGTAACAAATATTTTTATTTTATAATTTCACAAATAAACCATTTATATTTTATCATAATAATTTTACGTGTTTTTTTAAACTATTATCACATTAAAAATATAAAATTTCAAACATTACTCCATGACCTTTTCAGGCATTTTACAACTAAACTAACTTTTTTATTAATCATCAAACAACTTTTAACTTTTTCAACTGACTTTTTAAAAGTACCTATCTAAACATAAATTGTATTATACTAACTGACTTTTACTCTAATTTCAGTTATAAAAATCAATTAGATTAGAAGTTAGTTCCACCTAACGTGAATCCAAACATATCTTGAAACATTAGCTGAACTTGTCACAAGCAAGTTTCTTGACATCAAAGTGTCCAGTCCACCCTTCAAAACTCTGACAATCGCCACGTGGTGCGCGAGTTCCTTGCACCATTGTTACTTTATTACTGCAATAGAAGAACAATCCGACAGTTTTATTCCCATAAAACACGAGCCATCGATCGTCAATTATGATGATCAAGTTCATATCCCCTTTCTAGTGATCAACGTTCCAAATTAAAAGATGCCAAACATATAATTTTTTAATAAACTTTTACCCTTTCTGATTTCACAATTTAACGGCATTACTTTTCATGCTTCCATTGGAAAATACACATTCGATTTATATATTAATTAAAGCAGTTAATAAAAGTACAAAAATATCTTCTAAAGCTGATACTAATATTATTATTATGAAAATACTCCTTTTTTTTCCCCCTAGTCTTTTCCAAATGCTAGTCACGATCTAAGTAGTGGTCCTAGTATTAACAGGGATTTGGTTTGAGTTTGAAATCCGAACCATTCAAATTTAATTTTTTTTCATTAATTTTTTTTGAAAAAACTATATTAATATGTACAGAATTTATAATAAAAATCATCTCTTGATTATTATTGAAATTGTGAAAAATGGTGTTGTGTTTATCTGTATCAGGACTTTTGCGTTCCCCCTTCCCACGCGTCTGACCATAAAAGGCCGGCCTTCGCTAATCGCTGCCCTCAGGAGAGTCTTGGGTCTGAACTCTGAAGTGAAGCCTGAACTCTTCAAGAGAACCTCACTCTCTTAAACCTCACTCTCTTAAACGCCTAATTGTCTAACTCTAACCTAACCACACCATGGCTCTCCTCTGTTTGATTCCATCAAAACTCACTCTCTCCCTCCTCCCAATTCTCTTCCTACTCCACTTGTTCATCTCCTCCTCCGCTGCATCTACCTCCAGCGGCGACTCCCTGAGTGCTTACCAAATTCTTCAACAATACAACTTCCCCGTTGGCCTTCTTCCCAAAGGTGTTTTAGGCTACGAACTAGACCGCTCCACCGGCAGATTCAAGGCCTTCTTAAACGGTTCTTGCGGTTTCAAGATCGAATCTTACGACCTGAAGTACTCGGCCACCATCACCGGCACCATCTCCCAAGGCAGGCTCTCCAACCTGCAAGGTATTAAGGTGAAGATCCTTATTCTGTGGGTTAACATTGTCTCCGTCACTCGCACCGACGACGAGCTCGAATTCTCCGTCGGCATAGCTTCTGCGGATTTCGCCGTCAATAACTTCTATGAGAGTCCATCTTGCGGCTGCGGCTTCGATTGTCTGTCTATGGCTTCCAATCAGACTCATTCTCATCAAAGCTTTTAGGTTTTCTTCTTAATCCACTGCGTCCTCTTATTTCAGAAATGTGGTGTTTGCTAAAATAAGATCCAATAGTTTGAACTTGTGATATGTGCGAGGACAGTATGTGGAAGTTGGTATTTCTGGTTTAGAATAGGGACAACCGGAATCAACTCGTCTTTAGGCGGTTAGGCTGAGGAATAAGATTGATGGACTCTACAGTTCTTAGATCTACTTACTCTGATGTTTAATAATAGTAATAATTAGTTTAATACTTACCGTATTTAGTTAATTGTGAATTGTTGCACGCGTGATGCTGCCATGCGATTTTTCTGGGTGACGTCTCTGCAGGGAGAGTCGTTCGGCTCTTTCTGCGTTGAAATGTTCGCAGGCCAACGAAAAAATGTGCGAGTGGAAAATAATCGCCATCCACGTCCTGCACAAGACAATGCGTGGGCCAAACGTGGGTTGATGGTTTGAAGATAAATACTTGTTTGGATCAGCTTTTTATCTATCTGACTTGTGGGGAAAAGCACGGTACCACCAAAGCTAAAAAATCCAGCGGTGGGTCATTCTACTGTTAGTGCTCTTTTGAAATTCTCACCAACCCTCATCTACCTCTCCTCTCTTACCTTGGCTCCATCATCTCCCTGTGTTTTCTCTACCCATTCGCATCGCCTCTTTTCCCTAGCAGATAGTTGTCTAATAATTATCACATTATATGCATATAGTATAAATATGTATTATTTAATAAAAATCATATCATTTTCGGTCATTTTATTGTATCTAAACTCGTTTTTAGATTAATCATTTAAATGAGTTTTAATTTTTTTAACTAAAACTTTTTATTAATATTAATATAAACATAAATTATATTATACTAATTAATTTTTATCTACATAAATTATATTATACTAATTAATTTTTATCTTACTTAAATGGTAAAAATTAGCTGGAATAAAAATTAGTTTTGCAGCTATCAATCCAAACATACTTAATATCTAAACCCTCAATGTTGAAAGTAGTAGCTAATATCAACTCTTCTAGTAGGGAAATAAAGATACTATTCACTCCCTTCATTTCTCCCTTTTTTCCCCAACTATTCTCAACGTCTTGTCTTCGACATCTGTTGAGACGTGCGTCGCATTTTCAACCACCGAAACTCACAAAAAGTTATGATAATACAGTATTTTTTGAGACACTTAATTAATAAAAATAAATTTTATAAGCTAAGTCGATGCGCAAGAGCTAAAAATTTCATTATCATTAAAAAAAAACATCCAAGTTTAATGAGTTCAATTCGATATGAATGAAACCAGTGGGATTGACGTTGGCAAGAAAAAGGCCAAAAAAAGCACTAAACAGGGGGATGGATGAGGGCCGCCCGCTGCGCGTGTTTCTTCCATGGCTGGTTGGTGAACATTTGATAATTAGTTAATCACGTGTTCACCCTGGAAACAATAACGTAGGGGCATGTGGACCAACTAACTATTACTGGCTCATCATGGACAAGGAGAGGCAAAAAAAAAAAAAAAAAAAAGGAACCAGCCCGCTCCGATCCATCATACGGAAAGGGCATCGTTTTATTTCAGCTAGCTGGCCAATGCCCTCTGAGACCTAGACTATGTGCATACCCTCCCTCCCATTTTCCCTTGCGCCTGAAGCGGAAAGTCAAGGTGTCCTTTCCGATGTCGCTCGCCGCCTTTCTCATCGCGTCCACCTTTCTCTTCCTCATACCGCCTCCGCTGGCATCCTCGGCTGCGACCGGCGATGAGGCTGTGACGGCCTACGATATGCTCGGACGCTATCACTTTCCCAAGGGTCTTCTCCCCGAAGGAGTTATTGGCTACAACTTAGATCATTCGACTGGGAAATTTCATGCCTATCTCAACGGTTCCTGCAGTTTCTCTCTAGAGGGTTCGTATCAGCTAAATTATGAATCCACCATCAGTGGTTACATATCCAGGGGCAGGCTTGCCAGCCTCGAGGGTGTGAAGGTGAAGGTGCTGCTGTTCTGGTTCAATATCGTGGAGGTGGTTCGCTATGGTGATGATATCGAATTCTCGGTGGGAATCGCTTCCGCTTCTTTCCCTTCAGAGAACTTTTTCGTTTGCCCTAGGTGTGGTTGTGGAGTGGACTGTGATGACTCGTTATCCCCAGTAAGGAAACTCAAATTAAAACCCCTTTTTTCTGTTTCCTCCATGTAGTCTGATTTCAATATAGTTGCGGCTCCCTTTTTCATATTACCCCGCCCCCGGCCCCTCCCCTCTGATCGCTGTATTTAATTAATGGCGTCTCTCACTTATACGAATACGAGGTTCGATGCATTTATCTATCTCAATTACTAAAATGCCTAGTCACTACCCTTTACTAGTGTTTGTGGTGATTCTGATCACTGATCATATTTCTGCTTCCGTCTGAGGGGAATATTGCCTGGGCTTGCTAGAACAACGCTAAATTTTTTATCCATGTGTGTTTGCGTTTGGTATGCGTGCTTTTATTAGTTCCGATTGAATATTCATCACACTATGAGAAGTAGGAGTAGGACTGGCAAGTTAACAAATGTTCTGTATTTGCTTTTATGGTTGGGAAATATCCTGTGATTGTTGGAAAACGGCAAAATCGGATGAACAACGCTAAACAGATGTCGCCCCCCCCCCCCTTCCTCTCTGGAGGGAAAGCGATGGCACCGACCTTTATTTGTTCATTATCCTCCGATGCTCTCGTTTTCTTATTTCCCTACCATTTGGTACAAATTGTTCCACATGCTGCTAGAATATCCCAGGAAAGCTATTGAATGGCGGTTGCTTTCTAGAAAGATTTTACTCTTTACCTCAATGCTGCACCCATTCTCAATCATGATGCCCCTGCACGCTCCTCTGAAGCAGAGACTTTAAAGGAGGGATTTTCAGCGCATGTCCATTTCTTTAAATTGTCTTTATGTCCTTGTGTGTGATTATATTGCCACGAATTGCTAAAATGCGGAAACTATATACCGCGAAAGTTTGGGTCTATCTGCTAGTTGTGAAGGGGTTAGATTGTGATCTGCCTTTCTTGTGCTGTCTCTTTTCCCTTTTTAATATAAGCTGGGAAGAACTTGCAGTGAATGACGGGACACAGGGAGTCTTATGTGGTACATACTTTGGTTCTCAACCCTAAAACTCATGTATCCTTTTCTAACTTTAGGGTATCTTTTGCTTCAAGCCTTCACCCACATATTGTCTCGCTGCTTATTAGCTGTGTGATTAAATTTGTTGTGCACGTTAATTTCGTAATTGGACTTAGATCTTATTATGATGTTTGTTATTAACGGCGGGTAATCATGGATTTAACTTTTAAAACGTTTACTTGTTTGTTTGGAAAGCACTTATCACGTAATTTGAAACAAAAGCTCATTTCATTTATTGACATAATATTTTATAAATCACTTATTTTTGAAGAAATCTACCATCATTGCAAATAAGCACTACATCTTGAGGTTCATAGGGAAAGAAAGTGAGTAGTAGACTAATTGTCTCTTGATATTTAGTCACTTATTAAATATAATGAATCACTCTAAAAGACTCAGTCAGAAGAACAATTATACTTTTTACAGAATAACAGAGTTGGTGTTATTTGGTTTATTAAAAATCTTGACCTTTTTAAAAATTAAGCTTTACAATTTTTTCATACGGAAAGAGTGACTTGTTGTATGGGAAGTTAATATTTTGAGGAAGATCAATAAGGTGAACGACGCAAGTCTTAATAATCAAATGTTACGGTGGGAAATGGTTCATCTTTTAATTCTACTGCGTTTTTGTTTTCATATTCATTCTCCTTGTGAGTTTTAATGCATGTACGGTACGCTTAACCTTCAAAATCCAGATGTTTGATTTCCAACAGAACATTGCCGGGCTTTCAGAATTTACAAAATGTCAAATTCTTTATCACTAATGAAAAATGTGACTTAGCTCAAGACACTATGAAATAAGAGATAGCATGAAAATTTTTTAGCGCCAGTGTGTCATGAATTTTGTTCGTTCATTTTTTGAGCCGTCCAATTCAAATTATTTATCTTTAATATTTTTTTGTCACATATGAGTATCTCTTTATTAGAGACAATCTTATTTGAAATACTGTCAATGGGTATTTATTGTTAAACTGAAACATTACACTTTTAATTAAGGGTGTGTATGGACCAAACTATATCAGGTTTGGTATCAACTCAAGGTCTAGTTCAATGACGATGTCAGGTTGTAAAAAACAGTCCAACCTTACTGTAAATGACAGCATGTGGTCTGGTCTGGTCTAATACTAACCTGAAGTCAGGTTGGAATAGACTTAATCTAATCGACTATCTGAACTAGTCCAAGTAATCAAGGACTTGTAGTTGATGTCCTGGAATACAATTGCAACGATTTGATGACACTCTATGTAAGAACTCCTACTTCTTGCAATAGCTTAATATTAGGAGTTGAAGTAGCTTGTTTGGGTGATAAACCACGAGAGTCAAGAAGATAGGAGACGGTGAAAAAATACCCATTGGAAGGGGTTGAATAACCATACCTTGATGACAATCATTGGGTCTGAACACAAATCACAAGCAAAATTTTTGTACAAGGAGAGATTTTTTTTTGTGTGGCAAAAATTAACAATTTTTCAATCTTTAAAACACCTCCTAACAATATTTCAACGATAAATCAGGAAACAACAAATAATTTCCCATTGCTAGGTCAAAGTATGGCAGAACATTGATTAACTTTACTCCCATTAAATTTTTCATTGCTAGAAATTTGAAAACTAAAATACCAAAAGAAAATGAACATAGCAAAGAATGTGATAGAGCAACCAGTCGAACAAGAAATTGAAGGAGGTTGAGGAGAAAAAAGTCAACAGTACCTGGTGGCTATTGACCAACAAGGAGAGGAGAGGCGGCGATGGATTCCATGCTAGGGCTTCTAGTGAGAGACGAGCGACCATGGTGAAGAAGGCGTTGGGTGAGAGTTGAGAACAAAGAGAAGAACGAGAATGGAAGGGAGGCTGAGCTTGATAGAGACCGAGTCATTGACAGTGGCAACTCGTGAGTAGAGAAGAGGCGGAGATGCATAATGAGAAGCAACACTATGCATGCAACGAGTTTTGTGTGTGAGAGAGGAAAACGTGTGTCTAACATATGGGCGGGATTAGAATTAGAAACGAGTTCCATACAAATGATGATGAAAGCTCTTTTCGTGCAGACATGCCCTCTTCAGAACTCATCTTCAAGAATTTTACTAGCGGGCACAAACATAATATTTTTAAAAAAATGGGAATCAAAATTAAGTAATCATATAAAAATCATGTTCATATTTTAAAATATAATTTAGTATATTGCATATCTTAATTATCGGTTTATAATTTTAATTTTAAAATTAGAGTTTATATTTAAGGCAAAGAATAGTTTTTTTTTTTTTTGGTCTCAGAGCAAAGAACAGTTCGCTCTGACTCAGGAAAAATAGAATTTTTTATATCTTGTTAAATGTTACTTCCCGGAGAAGCCCGCGGAATCGTGCAAAGCTTTGTGCTGGCAACGACGTCGTTTACAAGGAGGCTCCCAGCTTCATAAATCTCGTTCCCTCCTCCAAGGACTCTCGGGTTTCTGAAGTGTGCTCAGCACGCGATGGCCACTAAAATGAAGATCGAAGAGTTGCGGACGGAGCTCGCTCAACGTGGGCTCAGCACCGCCGGAATCAAGCCTACTCTGGTATTAAATAATTGTTTTTTCTTTTCTGCTCTGTCTGTTTTGATTGGGTAGTCCTTTATCACCTCTTGTTTGTGGGTTACTTCCTACAGGTCCGTAGGCTTGAAGCTGCTCTTCGGGAAGAAAGTGGACAGTCAGCGGACGATGGTCGCACTTCATCTCGTCAGAAGAGAGACCGTGAACCAGAAAATGAGGTTTTGGACAACTCTGATAAACTTGCGGCAATCGAGAAGTTCCGTGCAATGGGCGTTCAGCAACTGCGCGAAGAAGCTTCCCGGCGTGGAATTCTCTTGGTTGGGTCGAAGAAGCAGCTTCTGGATAGACTCTGTCAAGAATTAAGTAAGGGCTTGGACAATGCTAATGAAGGTATGTGCTTCTTCTCTCTTGCCTTTCGTGACCCCGAACTGAAGGAAGCTCTTGAGACTATTACGGATGCACATAATTATTCTCTAAAGTTTCCTAGTAGAACCAGGGCATATACATAGAGAACTTTATTCTCACATATAATGTGGCTACTGCGGTTGCAGATGGAGCTGCAAATTGTGTAGAGAAGGAAAAGATGGTTACAGCAACCAAAAAAGGTGCGGCTGTTCTGGATCAATGGCTTCCAGATTACGTGAAGGCTCAGTACCATGTTCTGCAAATGGCAAGTGTAATAGAATAATTATTTTGCCAAGTAATTGCATGTGTTTTCAATGAGATGCTATTTTGAGGCTAAAAGCTTTTGTTCGGTTTGTTTTTAGACTGACGTGAATATATAATGTAGGCTGGTGAAATCTACGATGCCACGTTGAATCAGACAAATGTTGGAGACAACAATAACAAATTCTATGTGATTCAAGTTCTTGGTTGACTCTCAATCCCAGCTACAAGTTGATAATACTATAATATCAATTTATGAGATTAATTAGTCGTGGGAACATTTTCGTGATAGCCATAATTTTTCACAAGATTAGGCCTCTGCTATTTTTTATTGTTGTCAAATGCAAGCTCCGAGATGCAAAGAAGATCGTTTGTTTTTTCTTTATCAAAAACAAGGTCTGGTTTTATCAATAAAAATTTTTCTTTTCTGCTGTATTGGCTCACGGTCCCCCCCCCCCTCTCTGTTTTTTTTTTTTGGGCAGAATCGGATGATGGTGGAAAATTCCTTGTTTACAACAGATGGGGAAGGGTAGGTGTAAAGGGCCAAGACAAGATACACGGCCCTTACGCTTCTCGTGAAAGTGCCATCCAGGAGTTTGAAAGCAAGTTTTTGCCAAGACCAAAAACCATTGGTCTGACAGGAAGAGTTTTGTTTGCTACCCAAAGAGTTATGCTTGGTTGGAAATGGACTACGGTGGAAATGATAAAGAATCTACTGTGAGTTATTGCCGCTATTCTTTTCTTCACATGACTTGATGGGTACTAAAGAATCCTCCGTGCCTATTTGTTATTTTTTACCCTTGCTCCCTCAAGGATCAAATAGTTGACTGTCAAGAAGAAACCTTTTTTTTTTTTTCTTTTTCATTCTGAGCGACGTGCTATTGCTTTCAGGCCACAGAAAAACATGCTTATGCGTTAGAAATGAAACCTCAGGAATCAAAACTTGAGTCACGTGTTGCAAAATTTATATCTCTCATTTGTAATGTGAGCATGATGAATCAGCAAATGATGGAAATAGGTTAGTTTTTCCTTCCCAAATTTCCCTGTAAGCAATGACCCGATTCATATGATCATAAAAACATGCCAAATATTTAATTGAATTCACTTTGGGTGATCATAACACTGATAGCAAAATCATAATCAATACTTTTGGACGTGCATTAAAACTCTTTATGATGTACCTTTAACATCCGCTACATTGTAACCTTGGAATGCTTCTTTTAGGATACAATGCTAATAAGTTGCCTCTTGGAAAACTGAGCAAATCAACAATTTTGAAGGTTAGTCTTTCTCATGCATGTCATATTTTCTCCTTTGTGCATGTTTGGTATGATTTTTCTTTAAATTGCTTATAGCATTAGACTCCCTCCTGTAACTTATCATGCTATTGATGTAATATCAAGAATCTACAGTATCGTGGCATTTCACTTATCAATCAGTCTCATGTTACTTCTTCCCCCGGGGTTGGGGTGGGGCTGATTCAAGAACGCATCCTTGTATGTAGTTTGTCTGCCAAAATAAGAAAAATAAAACCTCTTTGATATATCATGATTCTAACACTTTTTTTATTTGCTTCATTCTTCTTACGAAGATGTTTGAGGTCATTACATCCTGATGATGGTGCCCAGATAGATTCTCTGGTGTAATCACATGTCCTGTTTTTGTCTTGCTGGGCCCAACAGTTTTAAGTTACGAATTGCTTGCTATGCATATCCTCTCTAAACTCATGGAAGAATTGACTAATTATATTTCTATTTTCCAAACATATATAGGGGTATGATGTTCTCAAAAGAATTGCTGATGTGATTAATATTTCTGATCGGAAAACTCTGGAGCAGCTAAGTGGGTAAGATATTGCTTTTAAGGTAAAAAGATTATGGGGCGAAAATTTATAATTTTGAAGTACATTATCTATTTACTTCTTATAACTGATTGCAGGGAATTCTACACTGTTATTCCTCATGACTTTGGATTTAAAAA